CGGATTTTCCATGTCGACCGGTTCAATTGTCCTGGCATCATCATGAATGGATTTCTGGCCGGGTATTGGCTTCACAACACTTTGTCGGGCATCTTTCGTTGCTCAATGTGGCTGTTTATGGGTACCCTCAGTCACCCACCTGGCCTCAGGCCAAGCAGAAGACAGCTTCGTTGTTGCAAAGCATTACAACTGAGATTGTGGTCGGATCAACCGGCCCCAGGGTCGTCTGCGGTGACTTGAACATGTCTACCACTGCCTCACCTATTTTTGATGTCTGGCGCAGCTACGGTTGGCAGGAAGCTCAAGAATGGGCGCTGCAGCGTTGGGGTCAAGAGATTCAGATGACTTGCAAGGGACGCACTTGTGTTGACCATGTTTGGCTTTCGCCTGAAGCTTTGGCCCTTTGTCAAGCGGTGGAAGTGCGCTCAGTGTTTGCAGAACACTCTTCGGTGCTTGCATTTTTTGATTTTGCCCAGGCTCCAGCCGCTGTGATGAGGTGGCCTTGTCCATCCCGATTGCCATTGCATTCACTTTCGGCAGCCTGGCCGTCCACCTCACCGGAACCCCTCTCTTCCACCTCGACGAACTCTGATGCTCTGTTTGCTCAGTGGGCCTCGAGTTTTGAGAATAGCTTCAATGGCCATGTCCTGGATCAACCAGCATCGAATTTGGTTCCCCAGCAACGTGGTCGCTTTGGTGCCCAAGCTCCGAGATCTTTTCCAGCCACTTGCATTGCTAGTCGCCCTAGCCGACGTGGGGAGGTAGCTTTGCGCAACAACCGCCTAGGCTCTGTGGTGAGCTTATGGTTCAAGCAGTTGAGACGGCTTCAAAGCTACAAGCAGGCCATTGAAGGTGGTAAGACTACATCTTCTGCGTTGACCTATCGCATTGAATTGTGGTCCTCCATTCTGGCCGCTAAAGGCTTTTCTGGCTCTTTTCGACAATGGTGGAATGAGTTTGGCCGGCATGGTGATCCGGATGCTCCGAGTTTCTTGCCGTCGGGACCTCCTGCACGGGAACTTGCTGGCCTTATTTTTGTGAGCTTTAAGACCTGTTTTGAGGCTTGTGAATCTTGGCATCTTCACCAACGCCTCAAGCTTCTACGTGCCAAGCATGATCGTACTCTCCATGCGTTGTTCGTGGACCTTAAGCCACCGAGTAAGGCTCACCTTGATGTTCTTTGGCAAGAGCAATGCTATTCAGTCATTGGAGCTGACAGTGATTCCCAGCAATTGCACCTCGATCGTCCTCTCGCTTTGGGTGGGTCCTCTACTTGGACTATTGATGATGTTCGGGTTTCTGTACTTTCTGAGGGCAATGATGTCTGCACAGTGGTCCCTTTTCCTGCAGACCCTTGTGAAGTAGTGCTTGTTCAACATCAGACTCTCACCCAGCTTTCGGATTTGCATGAAGAGCTGTGTCACTTTTGGCTGCCCCGTTGGCAACAATTTGAGGACCTTCCATCGGACCGCTGGGACAGGATAATTGGTTTCTTTAGAGCCTATTTGCCTCGACTATCACTACATGTGCCACCTTTGACTTTGTCTACATGGCGCAGTGCCCTTCGACGCTTCGGTGTTCGCAGTGCTCGGGGAGTGGATGGCTTTTCTCCGGCGGAACTCCTGAAGATGCCTGATAGTTGGACACAACAGCTTTTGGATCTTCTTGGCCGTATCACTCTTGGTGAGCTTGCTTGGCCTGCTGCGATACGTTTTAGTACTGTGTTCTCTCTGGCCAAACGTGCTTCGGCTCATTTGGCAGGTGATTTCCGGCCGGTGGTGATTTTCAGCGTCATCTATCGATGTTGGTCAGGTATTCAGGCTCGTGCTCTGTTACATCAGCTGGAACCGTATGTGAACTCTGAGTCTTTTGGCTTTCTTCCACAGCGGGAGGCTGCACAACACTGGATGGCCTTGCAGGGTCAGATTGAGGTGGCAGTGCTGTTGTCAGAGGACCTGTGTGGTTTCAGCTCGGATCTATCTAAGGCCTTTGAACACATACCCAGGCCTCAGACAATGGCGCTTTCCCGGCATCTTCAGGTCCCAGAGACTGTCCTTCGACCCTGGAGCAGTTTCCTGGACACTTGTGTGCGGGCCTTCGATGTGCGGGGCAGTTTGAGTCCGGCCTTGCCTTCCAAGGTTGGTATGCCCGAGGGCGACGCCTTGAGCGTGTTTGCGATGGTTCAGCTTGATTTCAGCTGGCATGTCTACATGAAGGCGTTTTGTCCGGCAGTTCGCAGTAGTTCCTATGTGGACAATTTGGGGGTGAGAGGCATTTCTCCTTTTGATCTCTTGGAAGCTCTATGTACCACATCCAACTTCTTTGAGCTCTGGAACCTTTCTCTAGACCCTTCGAAGACCTACTGTTGGGGTACAACGAAAGCGGTTCGTGCTGGCCTGAGCATTTTTCCTCATGAGTGCAAGGACACGGCGGCGGAACTGGGAGGTTCGATGTCCTACACAGCCAGACACCGGAACAGTCATCAGAGGGAACGTCTTTGTTCACTGGATGAGCGCTGGACACGGCTTCGTTTCTCCCAGGCGACTGTTCAACAGAAGTTGCGGGCTTTGCCCATTTGCTTCTGGTCTAAAGCTCTCCATGGTGCGGCTTCATGTCGGCTTTCGTTGAAGCTGATTCAGGATTTACGTATTGCAGCACTTCGTGCTCTACGGCTGCTGCGTGCTGGTAGTAACTCTGTACTGCAGCTGACTTTGAGTGGGGTGATGACGGCTGATCCTGGGTTCTTTCAGCTGCAGTATACAGTGCACTGTTTCAGGAGGATTTGCTGCAAGATGGCTCAGTTTTTTCATGACTGGAATGTCTTCATGCAATTGTTCTCAGGTGTGCTTCATCAGGGACCCTTTTCCAAGCTTCTTGAAGAGCTCAACAATGTGGGCTGGTCGTTGTCGTTGCCTTGGCTCTGGACTCACGATGATCTCTGCTTTGACTTTTTGCAGATGGATTCGGACACCCTCTCCGAGCTGCTGGAAGAGGCTTGGCTTGGTCATGTGGCACGTCTTGTTCGAGGCCGCAAAACCATGAGTGATTTGAAGGGACTTGATCGGCACCTGCTGTGGAGACATCGTCAACCACTTACGGCCTTGCAATTGGCTCGTTTGGGGGCGCTTCAATCGGGCGCTTTCATGGATAGAAGTCGACAGTCCAAGTTCGACCTTACCAAAAGTGGACGCTGCCCGACTTGCTCGTGCCCGGAGACGCAGGAACATTGGTTGACTTGCCCGGCGCATGAGGCTTCACGGCGCCAGGCGCAACTTTCTTTGCACGCAGTTGCTACTTGCCAGCTCTCTTTGAAGCTCCACTTGCTGCCTTCCCGTAATCCTCATCTACCTTGGTTGCGATCCTACTTTCATGGTCTTCCTCGGCACTTTGACATGTTGGCGGGTCCTTCCAGTGATGCGGAGCACGTCTTTACTGATGGTTCTTGCTTTCAACATGGGTATGGGGGAGCGCAGGCAGCTTGGGCGGTACTTTCCGCCACTAGTGGACGGCCTTTGGCCCAGGGTCATCTTTCAGGTGTTCGTCAAACCGTTATGAGAGCAGAGATCACTGCTGCTTTATGTGCTTTGACATGGAGTGCTGAACATCAGGTGTTCATTCACCTCTGGATTGACAACCAGGCCGTGGTCACTAATTTGCTGTATTTGATTCAGCATCATCGTGTTTCTTCGCACTGGATTAACCAAGATCTTTGGCGAGAGGTGTTGGAAGCTTTAGAGGCGCAAGTGCGTGAGCCTCGTGCTACCTGGATTCCCTCCCACCTGGACGAGACTTTATGCACTAGTCCGTATGAATCTTGGTTTTGTTTCTGGAATGACCGAGTGGATCGTTTGGCTGTTTCTTGCAATGAGCAGCGCTCGGAGTTCTACTACCAGAAACTGCAAGCCGCAAACCAGTATGCGGAGGACACAATGTGCCAAATGGGGCAGCTGTTTTCTTTCTACTCCCATGTGGCGGAGGAGGCGAAAGATTCGGAAGTGCTCGCGGAGCCACAGACTTCTGAGGATACCCCTGAGATGCATTTTTGTGTAACAGACAAAGAGGCCCTGTCTAGTTTTTTGCCTGGTCAATTTTCTGAGCGGTTGACGGCAATCGGCCACATGTCTGTCCCTAATTTGTTTATTTCTCGTTTGCTTAGTTGGCTCGTCTCTCAAGAAGATGCTGCTGATGGTACTTACGCCTGCAGCTTTTTGGAACTAGTGTTCATGCTGAGTGGGGTTGATCTTCCTTTGAAAAACCCGAGTACAGGCTGCTGGGAGCACATGGATTACTTTTCCATGCCAATCAGGCCAACTGTAGCCTCCTTGATCAGAATGGTTCGTTTAGCTGTCAAGCTGGGGGCCGATGTGTTTGGATATGGTGAGCTCTTGTTTTTTCATGAGAACAAGGTGGCCTTGGGGATCCATTCCCCTTGCAGTGGCCTCTTTTTGCGGTTGAACAGCTCTTTGGTCAAGGACACGCGATTTTCTGTCCACACGTGGACATCGTCGTGGCCGATCCGCAGGGTCGCTGACCTCGCTAGACCGTTCCCGGTGGCCGCTCACACCGGATGAGTTTCGCAACTGACTGTGACTTGGCCGCCGCTCTGCTTGCGCCGAGCGCGTGCCACCCAATGTTCGAGCTATATATGGAATGTGTATCAGTAAAGATTTGGTGTCGATAAAACCGTTAAAGAAAACAAACATGGTCGCATTTGCTCATGTATTTACCGACAACAGCCGTACAACCCAAGCCTGGCTGAATGGAACACAAGAAAGTAAGGGTACGTGCGGGGCATCCACGAATACTCGAGGTTTCACAGCGAATGGAAATGGCATGGGCGGACTCCAAGGACTGAGAGTTCACTCCTAAGGACTCCTGTCCATGGTCTTCCGGACTGTTTGTAGTCAAAGCTGATTGGCTTAATATCCCATGGCCGCATGGCATGGATCAACATCGAGCCCTGAGATATGTCAGTATATCACATGTGGCCTGATTCTGAGGCTAGGCCATGGTGCTTTGGAGTTTGCCAAGCGGATGGTGTCTTTGGAAAGTGAGCGCGGCAGTGCAGAAGACGCCCTGAAGAATCCTTGGTTGGTGCAGAAAGTGTCCTCGCAAGCAGGCTGTTGCGCGATCAGTTAAGCAACTCTGTGCATTTTCACAGCTTGCGGGTCTGATGCATCACACAAGATCGTTCAGAGGGCTTTGAATTTGCATCGTTTTTGTATGTTCTTATCCATTCTTTGCATTTGAGAAACAAGTGCATGGACATTGGTTTATTTTTCCTAGGTCTTTAATTCATGTAGTCTTGTCGGTTAAAAATCGACTCATATTGATTGCCATGGGTTAGCCTGTGACCATCCCTGGCACGGAATCATGATGGGTGGGAGGAATTTGTAACACCAGTAACCAGCACAAACTCTCAAAGCGGAGCATTCTGCGTTGATGTTGCCACCCTTTTTGCGTTTTGTTGTTGTCCAGTTTGCTGCAGATCTCCTTTTTTCCAAGCTGGGGGATCTCTTGAGCAGATGGACTTGTTTTGCTGAGCTTTCTAGCGTAGTCCTACTGTAGAAAAGCCAGATGGCCAGGAAAATTTGCCCACAAGGATATTCCCATGAGAAGCTCCCAATGTGTCGGTTTTGGCTCATTTACTTTGTGGGTTTTCTTGAACACAGGTCTTGTTGTTTTCCCGGCCAGCCTGAGATGGACTCCATTCCAGAGCCAACTTCCGTTCACAAGTTCCTCCGTCAGACCAGCTGGAACTTTTTGGGGTCCATGTTCGCGGGGATCTCCATTTCACCAATAATTTGCACTATTGCTTCCTGCGCAGCGCAGATGGCAATAAGTGACCACTTCTTGCGGAAAGCACTTGAGATTGAAAAGCGGCAGCTGTGAGGCCCGTGGACCATCCACCAAAGAAAACTCAGATCATCCTTGGGGATACCGCTTCTAGGCTGTTGAAATCTGGTGGGTATCACGCTGGAATGGGCATGCCCCAGTCACGCGTATTGAAAGAACTGTGTCAGAGGCTTTGCTGAAGCTTCCAACATCGAACATTCCAAGTCGTCGCATGGCTTGACGCTTTGAACTGCTCTGTCCCTTGCAAGAAGTAGTGTCACTGGCCTCCCAGGGCATTCTCCTCAAAGGGGCCATGCTGGGCGTCAACAATGGTCTTGATTTTGGAAAGGTAATTAAAAATGTGAGTTTGGTAATGATTAGTTCAGTTCCTTTTGCATCCTAAAGTCACTCCATATCAGCCGCCCAGGACATCATGCATCAGTGCGCCAAATTTGTGGCTACTGGGGTGAGGCGCGCCTGGGTGATTGGCTATAGCCAAGTTGCGTTGTAGCGCTTAGCCGTGTCACCCAACCCTCACCCTTCCATGGATTCTGTATTCACACCGTGTCACCCAACGATCCAGCTCGGCTCCAGAATGGACTCTCTCGGCTCAAGCAGGTGCTTGCCGAGAGCGACACCCGTCGGCCCGAGAGCGACATCTCGGCGCGACGAGAGCAGTTGGAGCGGACTCAAGCCTTGAGCGGCGAGCAGGTGGGTCGGTGGGATGTGGTGAGCTGGGAAGTGATTCACCTGCAAAACCATGTGTGGGAATTGGGGTCATATAGCTGGAGAAACTGGACTGAGGATTCGAGGGACCTACGATTGGGCTCATGTTGGAAGGTGGCCGTGGGATATACTGCAAGATCTGCAAGGGATCCAGCACATGTCAGACCTTTTTGCATAGCCTCATTGCCAACTTGGTGAAGACAAGGCTGGGTGTCTTGGAAAGACAAGGTATGACAAGGTACTTGAGTCGGTCCAATCCCTCTCCTTTACCTATTGCCAATGGAATTCTATGGTTGATCTATAGTCACTATTCATCAACTTGGAAGAGTTTCTGTCTGAGAGGTCGGCGACAAGCCGAATGACGGACAGAGACGGACAGCGGGCGGTGTTCCTGCACAACTGAGCTTTGAACCTGTTGCAGCTGTTCAACAGGTGACACTACTCCACATGTGTTCAAACCTAAAACCCACATGACTCAAAGTCCGCAAACCAGTGCTTTGCCCCAGCGTGCCACTCTTCTTGAGTGGTGTTTTCTTTTATTGTAGAATCTTGATTGATGATCCCCCAACCTTGCACAACCAGGTGGCGAAGCTCGGTCAAATCCTAGAGCCCATTGCTTCCGAGACTCCGCTGCACTGACCAACGATTTCGCCACGTGCTATGCCCGGTGCGAAGCAGCTAGTCCAGCTGAAGGCCTCAGCTACTGAACTCATCCAGTCGCTAAATTTGTTTCAGTGAACAATGGTCAGCGTGGACCTAAGAAAGTCTTGGTTTGAGAAAGGGATAACAGTCTCGCTGTATCTCGCTGATTCAACCTTCATCCGATGTCCGTGGACTCCAAAACCCCACCAAATTGCATCCAAATGCGTGAAAAACTGTTGGCCTGGGCCTAGTAGATAGACCCTGATCAACAATGACTCATGCAACGAGTCTGAATGGTGTTCCAAGATGTTCCAACATGTTCCAACTGTCCTTTCACCAAAGACTGTTGCCTCAAATATAAACGTCAAGTTGCCGAAAAAAAAAATAATTAAACAACTTTAACAGGGCTCACCCTGTTCCTTGGTAGTGCATTCCTGATGAGATGTCTTGCGTCTATTTTTACATGTTGGATCTCCTGGTCTCAGTGGTTTGACTAAGGTTTTGGGCACCAAGGGACTTGACTACTTCGCCCCCCCCAAACAGACCTGTGACCTGTTTCAAGTGAAGGGTTTGATCAGAGGTTTTGTCCGGGTCTCATACGCTTCGGTTCCCATCGGTGCCCTTTTCGTTGCTCGGTCCGGTCCCAGGATTTGGACCCGGAGACCTTTCGGCGTTGCTACGGCGCCATGGCCCAGCGCGTGCTACGGCTTCGGAGGACGGAGGGAGAGACGACGGACCAAAGGAAAATAAGGGGGTCCTCCACTAGGTGGGGATTTGTTAAATGAATTCTGAGAAATCGATACCTGGAGACTAAGCAAAAGATGTTCAGTTCAGATCAAAGATCAGCCATGTCCTCATTAGTTAATTGACTCCAGCATCATCACATGGGTGTCACAAGAAACAGCCAGGGACCAGAGGTTTTGGTCGTTTGCACTACTGTGGTGGAGGAAGCAGATCATCGTCCTAAGCATATCGACGGATCATAAGTGGCAAATGCGAAGATTGTTCCCTCGATCCTCAGACAGTGGAGGTCTATGGCTCGCTCCCCACAGAGGATGGACAAGGTAAGCTTCACGGAGCTCCGAAAGAATAATATCAATTGGCAATTATTGGTATTTAGTCTGTATTCGGTGCATGTTCCTGTGCACCAGACCTTTGTGGAGTCCCATCCAGGGACCTGTTACAGGCCCAAGTGACCTCAAACCAGGATATATAAAGGTCACTTTGAAGAGCCAGGTGGAGTGGAGCATCTCTAATTAGTTTCACGCCGATGGCGTTTGATTTCATGTCTTATTGAGTCTCAGTCTCATTTGTTTTGACAGCTGATCGAAATCGATCAACATCTCTTTTCAAGCTTGGTGAAACACACGATAGACTTGCCAGTATGATTTCCCCTCATGGACATTCGTTGCAGAACTCCGCGCAAAGGGACCAGTCATTGGATGTCCTTATGCTAGTGGATTGCTTTGTTTAGTGCGAAGATCCCATGAGATTGATAATCAGGGCTCAATTGATGAGATATTTAGGCTTGACAAAGGTGAGAAAACTCATGAAACCACATCTCAATCTGTGGGTCTTTCGCTCCGCTGGAAACGTCTAGGACCTAGGACGTTCTCGCCGAGCACGTCGCCGTTTGGTGTTCGACTGCTTCCTTCACATCCAACGTCGACAGGAGTCTTTCCAGTGCTGCTGCGGTCCACATCTTGGAGCAAGTGCGCAGGTGCGGTCGGTACCGAACCCGGGATGCGAACCGGAGAAGCCGAGTGTTTGCACGGAATGAAAGGAGCCAAGACCTGGTTCCGAAGGAGCCAAGAAGAGGGACTGCAGGGTGAGACCAGTCAACGGCCTAGTGACCTAAGCATATGATCATTGTTTCACGTGTTTGAACTTTGCCTACCGGAGGGAAGGTTGATTCGAGTGTTGATTCATTATTGAAGGTGAAAGGCCTACCGTCAAGAACACATGTGCGAAACAAAGTATTATATGAATATATATATATAATAAATAAATTAGTGACTATATAGGTGGATAAGCTTCCAACTCCGCCATTATCATGGATCCTTGCTGGCTGTAAGGTAATTAGTTGCAAGGTAGGATCTTCCCCATCAGTATGAATAGGCGTTCAACATGTCAACGCTTCTGACCCCTTGGGGATTGCTACTCTTCCTGTCTTCTTTGAGTTAGCAATTATCGCATCAGAGATGATGGTGGTGTGATTTGCATGGCTCTCACTCTCTCCAAAAAATCCGCAGGGGTGAAGGCGTCGGGCTCTATGAGCCCCAACGTGCAAAGCTCAAAGAGGCCCTGGAAAAGTCAACGTCCAGGACTTGACGTGCTGCCTGGATCGGCGCAATCAATCACGAAGAGGCCTAATGATTAGGGGAGCTAGGGGACTCCTTCCAAAATCACTCCAAAAATCTCCAAAACGCTATTAAGTTGGAGGCCATCGCTATTAGGTTGGAGGCCATCGCTATTAGACCCCAGCTCCGCCATCACTTTCTCATTCCCGACCTATACTAGGAGCCGCAGTCGGAAGCGCAGCCGAAGCCGGAAGAGCCGCAAGAGCCGGAAGCGAGGCTTGGACGAATCTGGAGTGAGGAGGTTTTGAGGAATTCACCAGGCTAGTGAGGTCACAGTGGAAAAGAGCTAGTTAGGTCAAAGGATTTGGCTTTAGACCTACCCTGCTTCCCATCATGGTGCCGCTAGGACGACGAAGACGCAGCTCATCATCAAGGACAGTGGATTTCAATGGATTTCGGTGTTTGCATCCTCACGCTGTATAGGGAGGAGGTGAGAAGATGTTGGTCCCCACTGAAAAGGTTTGTCAGTTTCTAGTGTCCTGAGAATGAACACCCTGAGGGACTCTTCAAATTAGGATTGTCCGCTGCACTAGCATGTTTTGTTGCAACTCAGATCCTCACCAACATGAGGGCAGG